TTCTTCAGAGTTGTGATCGAATCAAAATGAGGAGATCCGTAAGAGAACCAAAGTAGCCGACGTTATAGGTGGCAGTGCAAGACCGCTCATTGTAGAAATTGGAGGAGGCCTTTCAGCTGTAGACGATTTTTAGGTTAAATGTTACCGAGAGAGGTTTATTATTAACGTTTTTTTTTGTTTTTATTCGATTTACAAAAGTATGTAAGTAATAAAAAGAATGCATAGATAGTACATGGGATTTAATCTTGTATGATGGTAAAGAACCCGTCTTGTGCGACGAACTCGCACTTGGCCAATCTTTTTACATGTTTTTCTGTGCGAAATTTATCTCTGTTATTCCCCTCAGGGTGAAAGGTATCGACAAAATGTTACCTCAGAGAAACTAAACTTTGAATTTATTATTATGTCTTTCTTACCTTGGGATAACTTCGTTTGCGTTTTTCCACCTCAAACATAGGTAGGTAGGGAATCTTCGTTGATAGGATTTACTTAGCGAAATTACATGCAATCGTCAGGAGCGGGTTTATTTTAATTTTATTTTATTTATTAGGACAACCAACAAGACAAACACGCATACATGGAATTACTATAACTAAATGTGCTTAGAACTAAGTGTTGTCTCAATTAAAGGCTGCCACGGCATGCAATGTGGACTGTTGCAAATTTAAAAACTAACAAATAGAAACACAGTGACTATTTAGGTATTTGCTGCCGCTGTAAGAGACCTCAGAACAGATTTATCCAATAGTCCAATAGTAGATGGAGTTTAAAATTTTATGCCACAACCAAACTGGTGCCAACTGTTAAAATGTTGCAACAGCTGTCGCTACTAAATAAGCAACTAAACTAAATTACTAACTAGACTATAACTAACTAAAGCAAAAGTTTCAGGCAGGTTGCAATGCTATGTTTACATCAAGCTTAGAATATAATAATATGGTAGATTTTATGCTAGACAAGGCAGGTATTTGACCGCAATCGCACCTGGTGTTAAGTGAGATGCAGTCTAGGATGGTACATATATCTGCCCTGTAAGTGCCTATTCACTCTCGCCTTAAATTTCATGAATTTCGGCCGCATAGAAATTAAATCTCGAATGTTTTCCTGGAATGGGATTTGATAAATGAAAAGTTTCCTACCCTAAATCCTACTTATATATATAATATTATAAATGCGAAAGTTTGGATGTCTGGATGTCATGATGTCTGGATGTTTGTTACTCTTTCACGCAAAAACTACTGAACGGATTTTGTTGAAACTTCACAGTATTATTGTTTATAACCCAGATAAACATATAGGCTATAATTTATGACGATCTGTGACAAACTAAATTTCATGCAGGTGAAGCCGCGGGCAAGAGCTAGTTAGTGATATTATTCGCATGATGAAACATAAACGACTTTGGTTGATTCGACATTGGAGAGGGGTTAAAGTTAAAAATAATACTGAAATCAAGTGAAAAATAACAGCAAAATTTTCTGAGAAAAGAAAAGACTTTACGATCCACTTTAAAAAGGGTTCGTGGAAGATCAAGTGGTTCGGGAACAATACTGGTATTAGATAGATAAAGTAAGATTGTTCCCAAAAGGGAATTTTGTGGTCATTTTCTGTCACTATGCTGATTACTTTGGAATCCACTGGTTTTATTCTCGAAAAATGTTATAGAGAATTTATGTAATACTATGATGATGTAGAACTAGGAAGCATATCATAGCAACTGCAACGTCATGATTAAGATAGGTAGATATTCATTCTTAAAAGCATAATTATATTAGTTATTTAATTTTTAGTGCTAAACTAAGAATAGAAGTCGCCCGGCAAGCGAAAGGTCGTGGGTTCGATTCCCGCCTTAGGCAGTTCGATTTTTTCAAGTTTTTTTTTTTTTCAAATTATTATTTTATGTGACGATTGCTTGGTTTGGTATTTAGGATTTAATTAGGGTAATTCCAGGATACATGCCCCAGTGGGATAGGTGCCGCGATTTTAAGTACACTATGTTACAAGCAACTTAGCCTAAAGTTATAGTACGTATAATAGAAAGGGACCTCCCCGTACCACTTTTCGCTTCGCAAACCATCAAAGAGTGCGTTTGTTTAGCCAGTGAGAGCAAAAATCTTCCGCGGCCAGACCTTAGCGAGCGTCGAAATAATATTGGTAAGTATTTTTTAATGGATAATTTTTTTGTCAGCTGTAAAATGAAGCAGATTTTTATATAATTTGATAGACTATCTTATAAATTATACGGGATAGATATGTTTAATTCGATTTTTAGTGTTATTATATTTTTTTATTAAAAACGGCACCTATCCTATGCTAAAAGGATAGTTGCCTAAATTTTTTTGGGTATAGATGCCCTTAGGGCCATGTCCCATGCACCTAGGGGCATCTATCCTAACCTGCTCTTTTTGTCACAGGTAGCAAGTAAGAAGAAAAAAAGAATGTAGTACGGCTAACCTTAGGAAAGTAATAAATAGGGTGCCCTTCTGATCGAATTACCTTTTTACCCGACTGCGCTAGAAGGAGTAGTATTATTTTTAATAAAACATATTACATTTCATTTTTAATTCATTTAATAACAAACAATCTTAAATAATAATACTTGGCTTATTTGATTTGAAAATGCATTTGATCCTTAGATTTCATAAACTGTATTAACGAGTCATCTATCCCTGCATCAGGCATCTATCCTTTGAAGCAATCATACTGTGAGTCTTCTATCCCCCACATTAGGCGTCTATCCCACTTTTTAGAGGTCAATTAAAATGGTATTTACTCAGAATCGGTATAACTTAAACTAAAAAAATTATAGTAATATCATAGATGAAAGACCAAAGTTTACAGATACTAAGGTCAAATTGTTGATAAAAAATTACTGACTGAGTTACAGAGCTGTTTCAAAAAGTGGGGCATCTATCCTGGACTTACCCTACATCTATGGATGGAGCATCCACTACTTCCTCTCAGACCTTACTGCAATATTAAATTTATCGAAATCCTAGGTAGTAGATTCCATTTAAAATTAACTCACATCTTATTATATTACTATCTTACATCTGGCTCTCTCTTTTGACGAAAACTATCTTCCAAAACCCAACAAATAAAACTTGCGTTGATATTAATAGGTAAATGTCATAAAATATTTTCTATACAAATAGAACTGTCTAAACAATCAGAAAGGCTTTTTGATACGGATATAGACTCTTTCATAGAGCCGCCAAAACCCCAATTTATTGTGAGCTAAATCCATGTCAGCAGTTTTCTGAATGTAACTGAAAGGACGCTTTCAGCGTGGGTGTTATTTCTGAGTATGCTACGTGTTTGAAGACTTTTTCCGGTAAAATGTTGACCGCTTTTGATATTCGTCGGTCAATCCAGATTGCTACGGCATTTTTTTTATGTTTTTTTTTACAAAAAGATTATTTGTAATTTGTTATTACACAAATTACTAATAGTCCCGTTAGCCCCTTGTGCTAAGCTAAATATGCTTGTATCACGAGTGAACTCACCACAATAGTCGAGTGGCGGCGGGGACCGAACCTGCGTTCCCTGGATCACGAGTCGGCCAGTCCGACCCCTTCACCGTTCGGCTATCGTGACTTTTGCTGCGCTTCTTTGCAGCACTTGCCAAATCTTGGTCTCAAAGCGCTGGTAGGGCAAAATATTATGAGACATGTGAAGGCTCCATAGGAGCAAAACTTTAAAGATTGTTTTTTATTAGACTTTTATTTTTCTTTTTTTAAATTTAATATTTGACGATTTGTAAGCACTATTTTTATAGTCCATGAAAATAAAGGAATTTTGATTTTGATTACGAAAATAAAATATGGACATTCTCCATTTTATGGTTTGGATTAGTCCGGATCAAGCCTCAGACAATCAGAAAATCTCAGGGCTTAATATTTTATTCAAAACGTTCCCTTTTTATTCTTCAACAATATAGATTGAGGGTCAGCTACGGCCTGAACAAATATGTCTACCGAATCATTACGGATTCTAACGAAACAACCTTGTCGAAACATCAACTTTAGATCGAATGTCGGAATGTGTTAACTGAGTCACGCCCGTTTTCACAAACATTACTATAAGGTCTCACATTGCGCCTGGATGCACAGAGTGACAAATGAACCAATCACAAAGCTCTATTCAACGCTGTGCGTTCGATTTGCTGCGTCACATAAGCAAGCATCGTTTGTCAGTGTCTGAGGCAAGGGAGTGGCACGGGAGGGCTGACATTGACTATGACGTGACAGAGCAAACAAATCTGAAGGCGATTTGAAGTCTCACTGATGTTGGACCGTCAAAAAGGAACACTTCCCGTGCCACTCCCATGTCTCAGGGTTGTCAGTTAAGCGCTAGACGTAGGGGAGACCGAGGAGAGTTGTAACAGAGGAGAGTTTTCAGAGACATTGTCGATTTTTTGGAAGTTATTAACTACTAGCTTTCCGCCCGCGGATTCGATCGCGTGGAAATTTGTCTGTCACAGAAAAACTTTATTGCGCGAGTCCCTGTTTCAAAAACCGGGATAAAAACTATCCTATGTCCTTTCCCGGGACTCAAACTATCTCCCTGCCAAATTTCATCAAAATCGATTCAGTGGTTTAGGCGTGAAAGCGAGACAGACAGACAGACAGAGTTACTTTCGCATTTATAATATTAGTATAAATCAGCGAGCTAAACAGCACGACTTTGTTAGCTCGAGACTTGAACTAAAAAGCGCGCACTGTTACGAGCTCGTTAGTAGTTAGGTAATAAGTTTCTAAAAATCGTCAATGTGTCAACTCTCCTCGGTCTCCCTATACTTAGCCTTGCAAACACAATTGTCACAACCCACACGATTGAAGGTGGAGATAGTTTCCATTTAGATGGAAAAATATTGTATTTTGTCACAAACAATTTTATTTTTCTTTGTCCTTATTTTACTAGCCTACTTACTCATAATAAAATTTATTTTATTTTCAGATTCCATCTCAATTCGGACCGATCGAAGATGAACTGAAACCATGGCGATCCACATGACTTTCCACTTCCTCCTTCTTCTTATTTACGAAATTTGTGCTAAACCCCACAACTCTAGTAACAATGAAGCAAATGCCAAAATGCTTCTATTCAATGCTACCCTTGAAAACGATTTCAAAAGGGATTTCGATGACGAACTGATCTACAATATAACTGAAGATGTTAATGCTACTAATACCTTACCAGAACCACGTTTGATTTTGAAGAAAACATGTGAAGCCCAAAACAATACGAATGGAAACGAGACTGTATTTGTGAATAATAATTTGAATTCCATATATTTGAATAATATTTACTCTAGAGTGACCACTAATCTTATTGAAGAGAAAGTCACGGTGGACATGATAGATTCGGATGGGGTGAATCTGTATCAGATGGTGAACAGTGACTGTGGCGGCGCTAAGGTGTGTCCTCCCGTGGCACAGAATTGGACAGACGAGAAAACAATTACGATTGGATTCCTGGGCGCTTATGGGAGAAGTCCGGTAAGTACATTTTCTAGCTAAATTAATTATTATTGCAATTATTTGTTTTTAGACAACATTTTCGTAGCATTACAAATTGTTTGCTGGTACGTGCAAAGAATTGGAATCTAAGTCATAGTAATTTATGCCAAAAACATAATATTATACCAAATATAAGCATGTGTGTGCCTTTAAATGCAAAACATAAAATACAAGGCTCGATTTGGGACTCCTAATAAATGTTACCAATTTGTTAGTGCTTGATCAAAAGTTAGGCAACTTACACAACACGTTATCCTAACAATAAATTAGGTACTTTTTGCTGTTGGTTACCCTTTCCTCACAAAAACCTGTGGTGTAGATTAAAGACAGGCACGTAGCCCGCAGCATGCGCAAAAGTAATGGAACTAGAACTGCCTAATTAAGACGTAGGTAGACGACATGATACATAAATATCTAAGTACTTAATCGTGAAATAAAGATGTGTAATTATAAAGCTGAAGAGTTTGTTTGCTTCAACACGCTAATCTTAGGAACTACTGATTCGATTTGAAAACTTAATTTTGTGTTTATCGAGAAAGGCTATTAACATCACCCTATAGCCAATAGAGGCGGAGCAGTAAAGAAAAATGTTGTAAAAACAGGAAGTATTATGTAAACTATTTTCACTCATACGAAGTCGCGGACACAGCTAGTATTATTTAGATATTATTAAAGTGTGAGTGACACCGACAATGGGGATGTTGCCTGGGTCAAAAAGCAAGAGTTTTAATTAGTCCGTCAGTTAACTTATAAAAAAATACTCTACACGTATTTTTCACTTTTTCAAACTAATGAAAATTTAAAGAGATAAAGCGCCCCAAAGTTCATAAGAAGAGGCCCGTGACGTCAACGCTTGCTTAAAAATGCCGCACGTTGTGACGTCGTGCGCAACTTCAACGCACCATAACTATGTAATTATTTGTTAGATTGACAAATAAAAATATACGTGTCCAATATTTTTTGATATTAAACATTACGGACTAAAAAATTTTTTTAGGCAACTAGCCTATTAAGTAATCCAAGAAAACTATGTTACAAACAACGTAATGACTACTTATTTCCAAGAAAAGTAATAATACCTAATAATAGAGAGACGTGGAGATGTGTCTAGTGCAAAACAACTTTAATAACTCTTTCTAATAATAATATCTAACGTTCAGAGAGCCTAGTGTGAGTTTCCATCAAACGCGCTCACTAGTGTGCGCGTCAAAAAATGACATTAAATGTATGACGGATTGTACTATCGGGAAACGTTCAAAAACTAAAGTTTTCATACATTTTGTAAGTGTGTTTAATGTAAACTCACACTCAGCCCACAGTTCGGCGAATATTAACATTGAAGTTTTCCTTACTCTATGGTCCTTTGATAAAGGTCAGGTCATTTAAATTTGGTTGATTGGGAGATAAAAGGGGACCCCTTTCAAACTCCCATGACAAAATATGAGTTGCTGATGAAGTTGGAAAACATGAATTATTCCGTTCCCGTAGTCCACTTAGGGTTGCCAGGCGTCCGGCTTTAGCCGGACATGTTTGGCTTTTTAGGGACTTGTCCGGCCAAAAATTGCGTTGTCCGGCCTGTCCGGCTTTTGTTAGGCTTTTTATTTGATTGCCGCGCCAGGCGAAAGTCGAGCCACAGAATCATATGAAGCGCACGCATCAGGTCGCATCAGGATGTTGGTTAGCAACCGATGATGATATTACTCACTCACTTATGAGCTGACACTAATTGTAAAATGTCCGGCCAAATGAAGCACAAAGTCCGGCTTTTATGGTTAAGCCCACTGGACTTTACATATATGTACATAATATTGTGTTGTGGTAAATCCACTCTTAATAGGTACTTTGATTTGGGCCTCCCATGCCCCTCCCATACCTCAGGCATTGACTAAGTTAAGTGCTAGACTATAGTTACTTTTATCACAGAATAATAATAAGTACTAGGTACGTAGGTACAGAAGTTTTACTTTGCGAAGGTATTTAAAAACATGTATGCTCAATGTCATTAACAATATGGTGTAATTTAGCTTGTCTCAAGAGTCAAGCACCATTTTGTTGACAAACGTCAGTGATCGGCACTGCGCCGAAGCTATAGGGCTGACTTCGGTAAAATGATGTGACGTGAGGTGCCAAACTGCGGAAAATGGCGGAGGAAATACATGATTTAGCATGAATTATCATGAATAATATTAACTACTTATTTACCTCTCAGTGTCTTGAGGCAACTTAAAAAAGTACATTCTGTGTTTTTATTATTATTTAGGCAGTTAAATACTGCACAGTATTTAGTACACCATTTTCTTCCATCATACACAAGAATACGCGTGCGTGAGTCAATGTTCGCTCGTATGTGAGGCCTTGTCGAATAGTATCCTGTAGGTGGGCCATCGTGCGTGTTTTGTTTTCGATGTAAACTCGCGGAGATGAACAGGCCTGCTTTTATTCAGAAGATTAGCCACAGAATCGACCTGTGATTTAGTACTTACTGTAGTATAATTTTCTCAAATTGAATTATTATACGAAACTATAAGACAAAGTAGTTAATACTTTGGGCTTAATAGAAATTCTATTATAAAATTTAATTCTCAAACTAAAATAATTCTATTATAATTAATACTCGAACCTATTTCAATCTACTTTGCGAAATTACGTTTTTGAGTCAGACGATTACTTAGATATTTTAAGATTTACAGTATCTCTGTTACTATAGGTACAGGCGACGGCATGTCAAGGTACCTAAACCTAAGCCTAGGCGCAGACCTCCGATTTTTTCGGCTAAAGCCGGACACCTGGCAACCCTAGTCGGGCTGTACGGCTAGCACGAAAAACTTTCGAGTTCGAATCGTTTGCGTATTCGAATCGCCATCAAAAGATTTAGCACGAAAACTACAACAGCGTGAACGTGTCTTAAAGTGAACTTAGTATGAGAAATGGTTGCACGAAACTTATTTTGAGAATTAAAATTGTCATCGTTTAATTCGAAGGTTGAGTATCGAATTTTGTCGAATTCGCAAACGATTCAAAGACGAAAGTTGTTCACGCTAGAGGTCCTACTGTGCAAAAGAGTGAAAAAGCTTAAGCCGGGACACCAGCGCGTGTTTTGCCCTACAAAATCAACAAAAAATTACAACATTCAAAATTTTTTGTAGGAAATTTTGTTGAACGTTTACATGTTAGGGCAAAACATGCGCTGGAGACCCGGCTTTAAGCTAGTAACTCTAGACATAATCTCTTGATGATAAATATTATAATTAGAGACAAAAAGGAATGGTATATTATTGAGGATTTGCTTGTCAGTAAAATTAATGGTAGCTCATGTAGTGACTTAGCTACACAATTCACGTTATTTACTAATTATATCTAATAGATAGAAACATGTCCTTTCAATGCAATAACAAAGAAATATTTTTTAAAGGAAATAAAAGAAAAGTAACGTTCATGAAAGCCAAGTAAAAACAGAAATAGGTAAAGACTTTCATTTTAGTTAGGACATTCTAACCCAAGAAAGCAAGACGACGACAAAGAAAAGAAAAATCATTATTAAAGAACATAAAACAAAATTAACCAATTTCATTTTAATGGGCACTTAGGTTGCTTAGGTACCCGCTTTTTAAAATGTGCTATAGTACAAAAACGCGATAAACTTCACGTGAAATCGGAGTACTTTATCAAGAAGATTAATCTCTAATATAGCGTTAAGTGAGTAATATTATGAAAATTATTACGGTCTTCGTGTCTGCCAATCTGCCATTATTGCGAGAAAATTAGAAGAAAGTATTATTATTTTTTGAGTTTCCACGAAACCTAATATTTCACTTCAATAAACGAGTAGGCAAGCAACGCGTGGGGCTGCGCTAACTGTATGTTCATGTTATTACAAAAGTCGAAAGCCGTTTGTTTGACTGTTACAAAGGGTTGGTATTTGTCTACCGAAATAAATCTGAGACTTAGTTACACTTATTTTTATTACATTGGTTACTGTGGAAGTAGGTAATAATAGCGTATTTGGTATACGTGAGGCATTATTTATAGGTTTCTCCACATCATATGTAGCAGTTTTGCTTGAATTCTGTGTGCCTACCATGAGTTTACGTTAGGTGTGCTCGCTAGCGACTGCGTAAAAAAATGACATTTAAATGTATGACATATTGTGCAGCGCCCCTAGCGGCTACTTTCAAGAAATAAAATCTTCATAGAATTTTTTGACGTATTCGCTAGCGAGCTCACCTAACGTAAACTCATGGTAGGCACACTGAAGTTAAACATGTTTAACGTTCATAGCAGGCTTAAGATAAGATTGTCAATCTATAAAATTAAAAGAAAGAGAAGATAAATATACAGTATTAGAATTGGTGACGTCGTTTTGCAAATTTTAGAGAACAGTTAAGTAAACTCAAACCGAGAGTTGCTTTTACACTATTTAGATAGAAACAAATACGACTACTTACTACGATTCTAATAATCGAACTCTCTTCGAGTTCCGTTTTGTGAGTAGGTAAATAAAATTATTCATGAATGAAGTCAAATAACAGAAACTAGATTATTAGAAAATGGCAGTTGGTATCCTTAGAATTCCAGTAAATTCTTAAGTTCCTAAGGCAGTGACTCAATTCACTAAATGAAAAGCATTTGAGGAATCTGAAGAGACGAAGCTCGTGACACAAATTTTAGATTAGGTACAAACCGAATACTGAGAAGGTGGCTTCATAACTTATTAATTTAAACTTTTAATTATGAAAAGGGAATAGTTCGGTTGCTTTTAAGTAGTTTTCTGTACAAACTCAGGCGTATTGTGTAACAATGCTAAAATTTTATTAAATAAAACGCTCAAGTAACAACTTTGGGTTTTGGGACTTTGGTTGGGAGAGACAATAATATTAAATATCTTAAAAGAGAAACATTAAACATTATTACCTATTGTTACTGGCCAAGTGCTAGCAAACATTAAAATGAAAAGGGTAGTGTTTTTCCTTCGGGTGATTTTTTATCGGGATTTGGGAGGACATACAAACATTCGGGAGATTCTCGCCAAATCCCGACCATCTGGCAACTTAGGATTCATTTTGTGTCTCCTACTAGAAAAGCCTTATGAATGAAAAGATTTTGTCGATATACTTATCGTCTCGTTTCTATAATTTCAGGATAGGTAGTTCCATCTTCTAGCTGTTTATAGTTAGATATACAACACGGACATTATGAACCGACATAGGTCTGTGGTATATCTATAATTCAGTGAACAATCTTCATTTCCAGTAATCAGGTTGTTAAAATTATTATATGTATTAGTGGTTTTGGTTCCCAGTCGACAAAGCACATGATGTCGTGCCCTGCGTGCCTGACAACGCCACTCTTGTGGCGGAGTTTTGGGCTGACGCTGTGTAGGTTAAGTATTTGTCAACACGACAAGAAAAACATTTTTTTTTATCCACAACGAGGAAGCTCTTGGCCTGTATCTTACCTGATGGTAAGTGCTGATCAGGTCGAAGATGGAAGCGAGCTTCACCCGGAATCCTCAACCACGGAGGAAATGGCTATCTTACCTTTAACTGACAGAACACTTGTTAACATTGTTGTTATGGCGACAGATTTAGGTGAGATGGTGGTAGCTAGCCAGGCGGACTTAGAGCAAGCCCTACCACCAACAAACAAATTATATTCAGGGTTTATACTTTCCTAATCAAATCGTAACATACAAATTATTTTTCTCTTTGTTGTCCTGAGAATCAAATAGGTTTCAAATTTACTTAATGAGTTTATGTCTCCGAGGAACTCTCTAATCTAGGGATTCTAGCTGTGGTTGACGTTAGTAGGTAGCAACAAAAGCAAATTGGGCCTAGTAATCACCTCAGTCTGAATTTACAGACTTGTTTTCCAGTCTACAGCGTTTAAATTTACGCCTATTTGAAAATCGAAATGCTGGAACTTTCCAATACATCTAGATTTATGTTAGCATTTACTTTTGCTAACTGGAAATGAATTTTACAAATTCCGCTAAAGCAATATTTGTCGATAAAAGTTTTAAAGGGATGATTTATATTGGGAAGTTATAGGAGTGCTTGGATTTCCAATAAACATTATTTCTAGGCACGCTAACCGTTATTTAGCTACAGAAAATATAACACAACCATCCTATTATTACCTACCTATTGTATAGCCGAAACACCGAACCTGAAAGAACATCATTTAGGCTGCCTATTGTCGCAAAATTAAGTCTTTTGAAACACCACTATAATGGGAAAGGAAGTTAGTATGTACTTACACAATTTTCCCAGATTGTGTACGGTATAAGTACTGTGTATAGGTAAGTATGTAGGTACTGAAATTATTAAAAATGGGACTGGTATTTCGAGAAACGGATAGGTTTTTCCTTTTTCATGTTCCATTTATGCGCACTGTATCTGAATTTACTGGCAATGATAGGATGCTTACTCACTTGCCTTGCCTTCTTGGCTGGTAGTCTGCGAGGCGAGCCGGCCTAGCTGTAATAGAGTATTTTAAATTGTCTATACATCATCAAACCGCCTCGATATGGTCTAGAGGGCGCGCAATCCGCAATCCTCATCGTGTGTTGGTTCCCGCTGAAAACCAGCTTCTCGACATGGCGCTTGTTATGTCGCGAATATTGCTGAGCGGACGCCTCTTCAGCATAGCTTGTAGTTTAATGTTATGTACTGTATTTTTCTTTTTATGCTGAATAAAGTATTCTTATTCTTATACTTGGTTATTATTCACAGACAGTGCTGGGCGCCATGCCGTTGGCGGTGGCAGCTGTCAACCGCGACTCCAGTTTGCTGCCTGGGCTGCGCCTGCGATTCTTAGCTGCCGACGTGGGCCGTCCACGCGCACACTTACCTATGGACAAGGACAGCCTTACTTTGAGGTAAGGTTTATTTTTTTATGGACAGACAACTTCATTTGGAGATAGTTTAGCTATACCTTGCTGCTGTCAACCGCGATTCGAGCTTACTGCCCGGGCTGCGCCTCCGCTTCTTAGCTGCCGACGTGGGCCGTCCACGCGCGCACTTCCCTATGGACAAGGATACTTACTTTAAGGTAAGTTTTTAAATACTACGGGAGTTACTACGAACGGAAAATTGGGAGGAGGTATACTACACATTTTTCGCCTGGCTTGCGAACAGTTATTATGTGCGGCGTTTTACAACGATACATTTTATGCCATTGAGATTCTGTCTAAAAAACTAAGGTTTCGGATCATCATCAAGGTAGGGTTTATTTGTTTATGGACAGAAAATTTCATTTGGAGATAATTTAGCTATACCTTGCTGCTGTCAACCACGACTCAAGCCTACTGCCTGGGCTGCGCCTGCGATTCTTAGCCGCCGATGCGGGCCGTCCACGCACGCACTTACCTATGGACAAGGAAGTCTTACTTTAAGATAAGGTTTTAACAACCTATTGATTTTGGAGATGGGATTCAATTGAATGCCGAAATGAAAAGGGAAAGAGGCATTACGAGCGATGAGTTTGGAGCAAATGTGCTACACCTGACGTTGCGTGGCTCGCGCCATAGACTGGGGAGGAGTATGCCAAAGCTGGTAGCAAGCACAATGACAGTAACTCATCTCATAATTCTGTTCCTAAGGCCCCAAAGAATACCTAAGTACTTTCAGTATAAGCCATCTCATCTCTCTTTCTCGTGTAGGTACATTACTTCAGTTTAGGAGTAACTCCTAGAGTGATATGAGTGGAATGTATAATTAATTAGTACCTAAGGCTGGTGTTAATGTGCGCCGCATTAAAGATCACTTAAAAGTTTCAGAGGTGGAATTGTGTAAAGCAATCGTAATCATTTGACAGTTCATAACGTACGACAAAGTCAGTTAAACAAAGCGTTTGACAGAATAATCGTACGTTATGAACTGTCAAATGATAACGATTGCTTTACACAATTCCACCTCTGATCACTTACACACACACAACCCCAGGACTGGTAGCAAAAGAATTTAATATATTTCCTTTAGAAAACAGAATTGGACTTTACAACCAGTGACCTTCAACCTTCAACGTATTTGTCTACAATTTACTGTGCAACAACAACTTTGTTGCAAAATGGCACTACAATTGTAGATGATGCCACAATGTTTCTTTAAAAGCATTCTCCCATTAACACCCGTATTCACAAACATTACTATGAGGTCTTACAGTTCGCGTGGACGCACAGGGTCACACATTAACCAATCACAGAGCTCTATTCAACGCTGTGCGTTCGATTTGCTGCGTCACTTAAGCTAGCATCGTTTGTGAGTACGGGTGTAAATCAGTTCTGTCTTAACCCACAGTCCCAGACCGCAGATAAAGAGCGTTTATCAACAAAATTACCTATATTGAACTTTGAAAAGAAATTTACTTCACTCGTAAAGTAACCTACTGATCCTTTTGAATCTCGTTTTGGGTACAAAGAATATATTAGGGGCGTTGGATGTGACAGATAATGTACAATTTGAACGCATTTTTATTCCTCGAATTTGCATTTATGATAGATCACGTATTCGTTGGCAGTGCAGTTGCTACAGCTTGTGTGATTCATATAACGGTAAATTTAAATTATCCTGCTTTCGCCTCCGAGATTTATTTTACCATGTAGTACCCCTGTACGACAACCCAATCCGCACACAATATTCAGCGTAGTAGTAGTAAAAAACAAAAGAGCGGGCAACCCCACCCCTACCACGCTGTGGGCTCGGTGTCCGAGCGGTCTCATTCCTTTGTGCGCACGCGCAACGACCGCACGCAGTATAAGAAAAATGCTTAAGTGACGTCACCAGGACGTTTTTACCGACAAAAAACGTAATTATTTTAAGTTGTGCAGTGTAGTGACGAGAATTAGACCCAACATTGAATGATCAAACGAACTTACCAAGTGAAGTTCGATCTAAATTATCCTGTTTTCGCCGAAGAGATTTAAGGTCCCTCCCAACCCGAAGATTTCTATATCTTCTTCCCTGGAGGTAAACGTCAATGTCATCTCTTCTCTAAATATAATGAGACCGCTCGGACACCGAGCCCACAGCGTGGTAGGGGTGGGGTTGCCCGCTCTTTTGTTTTTTACTACTACTACGCTGAATATTGTGTGCGGATTGGGTTGTCGTACAGGGGTACTACATGGTAAAATAAATCTCTTCGGCGAAAACAGGATAATTTAGATCGAACTTCACTTGGTAAGTTCGTTTGATCATTCAATAAGCAGTAACAGTGAAAAAAATATAATCTCGCCTTTCTACTGAGCAAACGTTACTAAAGTCATGTACCTAATCTGATATATCGCACGTACTTTAAGAACATGAATAAAGAAACGAACGAAGACAAAGCTGTTTAGGTACGTGCCAAGTGGACCTATTCTGATATGATTGGAATAAAATTTTACGGTTAACTCTAAATCGAAAAGGTCTATTACTAACACTCTTTTTGCGTCTTAACTAGTATAGGGAAGTCGAACCCTAACTTCGAACTCCTCCTATGCTCTTCTGATTAATTTCATTGCGGGTCCAATGACAGTTAACTTTCCCCCGGGACAAACTTGACCTTCACTGCTTGGGATTTTATTGGCGGTCAAGCTGTAGATCCTGGCTACACAGGAGTTGCAGCTGTGGGAACGAGAGGTGGGAATAGTCCCGTTACATAGTTTTATTTTTCTATCGTGTGGCTTGTAACAGCAGCTGGGTTGGGCTTATGAGCTGTAGGCGGAAGAAATATCTCAATCGGATTACGTACCCTTCCGAGTAAAAAGAAATATGATTCGTTTCTTTTCAGGTTAACTCAACCCTCAAATGTTCTAAGCAAACTGAAAATAATGTAAACAAAGCGATTTCACCCACCTGAGACTGCGGTTGTTAAATAACCAACCAAGGTAACCAAATTGTTAAATTGCTAGTACCTAATTCTAAGGACTATCTACTCTTATATTCTTGTACAGACTGCCTCAATAAAAACTGGCAATTTTTGTGACCAATAAAAATAAACAAAAATAAAACTACCTAAACCAAAAAACATTGACCTGAACCTATAAGATTGCAAAGTGAGGTGATGGTAAGGATACGACCAGTTCAATCTCTCTTAGACTAGGCGCAGACCACCGATTTTCAACCGACTTCAAAAAAAAGGAGGAGGTTCTGTTCTCAATTCGACCCGTATGTTTTTTTTTTCTATGTTTGTTACGCGATAACTCCGCCAATTATGAACCGATTTGAACAAATCTTTTTTCGGCGTATAGGTAATACCTTAAGGTTGGTCCCATTTAAATTTAATAATAGAAAAAACAACCCCCAAGGGTGGAAAATTGGGGATGAACTTTTTTATACGCAATTTTTAGTTTTTTTTTGTGTTCACGCATTTGAAGTCGGTTTTATTTTTTTAAAAAGTTAATTAGTTGGCCGATAGTTGTGTCCGATTTTAAATTGTATGAAGAATCGGCCAAATCAAATCGGTGTAGTGTGCGCACTTCCATACATGCCCATAATGATCAACTGCCCGACTAAACTATCGGCCGACGATAAATCAATGGTCTGCGCCTAGGCTTAGAATTAAAATTGTCAGTTTGTTTGTCGTGGACCTTAAATACCTACTTAAAGCCTTTTACAAAATTAATTGTCTATTCAATTTAATACTTCGATGGCGGTAAGAAAGAAAGTGTTTACGATGTTATATTTAGCCGTAATTAAAATATGCGTGAGCATTTCTCTTCGAAAATATTGAGTAGGTACTTAATTGATATCAGTATTGTAGAAAGGGTAAGGGAAAGTAAATTTGGGTCATGTAGGTAACGTAAATTTACATTGTGAATACTTTGGAGATTATAATGAAAGACGAACGTAAATGAGTACAAGGCTTAGGTTTATCTTTGTTTGAAAAGATTTTGTAATAATGTAATACGCAAGCACTTTAATGTAACACTCAAGAATAATGTGTTTCTTGTATGTATTGTTAATAAAGGTTCCATGATAAAATCGGTACAATCCCTACTTAATTAAATAAATAATTGATAATTAGGAGGTGAGGCCTGAAGTGTGGATGGCTTTTTAAGCTAATTATCAATAATTAATTGTATAATAATTATCATCTATTACACCGCGCGTATTATTCAATAATATTATTAACACATTTCCAGTGACAATTAAATTAGGTACCGGAAAATGTGTAATAAATAAAATATGTATTTGAGTTAATGCATTTAAAATTTTAAACACAGTAATTATGAAGTTAAAAAGGTAGCAGGAAGGCGCTGGACGCAGGCCGCTACCAAGCGGGCAACATGGAAAGCATTGGGGGAGGCCTATGTTCAGCAGTGGACGTCCTATGGCTGAGATGATGATGATGATGAAACAGAATGAAAATTAGGAAAAGAATCACATTAAATAAAGCAACGATTGCCAGGTCTACGACTATTGTGGTGAGCTCACTCGTGACACAAGCATATTCAGCTTACCACGAGGTGTTAACGGTATATTAGCAATTTGTATTTTCAAAGTAAAAAGAAACAAACTGTTTCAGTATAATTTTGAAGGAAGTGATTGATGATTGTTTGCACGTTAGCCATTAAAAGGGCTTAACATCTGTGTTTAGGGAAGATTAATTTAGACTCGCTACGTCGCTTTTAATTAAGCGTAACTGCGTTTAACGGAAATCGATATATTTGGGGTAGGTTTACGAGATTCTGTCTGCTGATTTGAATCGAGCTGAAATTGACTCAATCGACAGCTGGGAGATAAATTTAGGTCTATTCCACTTTGATCACCTGGCTTTGATGACCCAGGTGATCAAAGTCCACTTCCAGCGACAATTTAATGTCCTTTGATCACCCACGGATATGATGCCCTGGGTGATCAAAGTGGACTCCAGTTAAATTATTATTTTAGTGCCCTTTGATCACCTACATGTAAATCACATCTGATATCGAGTGAGATGTAATCTATGATGGTATATACCTGCCCTGTAACTTCCTCACTCTCGCCTTGAAGAGGCGAAGAGGAGTTTGAAACTTACGAAATGTTCAGCGAAGTTGTGGAATTTATGCTCCGTTTATCCATATTATGTTTATTTGTCTTGTCCACAGAGTGATGACCCAAATGCGAGACCTTGGCGTGGTGGCGTTCTTTGGACCTGACAGCACGTGCCACACTGAGGCCAAGTTGGCTGCTGCATGGAACCTACCCCTTATCTCTCATGTGAGTATGGAATCTTCTTTACAAATATCATCATGAAGCCAACTCTCTTAATGAGCCAAAACATGAAGGGATTGATTAAATGAAGCTCAGATTTCATCAAAGTTCAGTATAGATGTCCTACACTGAACCATCCCACCCGTGACATTGAAAGGGGGGGCGCCGTCAATACCGTACACTGGTTCCGATTTTTGCCACATTGGACAACCACATAATATGACATTAGAGGAGGGCGCTAATTACCAATACTGGGTTAAGTTTTTGATTTTTGCCACTAGACGTTCCAGAATCGTGGAACTATATTTACTTCAGCCCATCGATATAGTACATAAATTTGGTGACACATTAGATTTGGTGATCCGAATACCGCTCTGTTCAACCGTACTACATTGCAATCCGTGCACCTTGTTTTAAGTTTGGTTAGACTACAGAACTAATGTAGCAGCTGCAGTATACTTTTGATTCGACCCAAAATACGATAGCGTCTCTATAGCTACTTTATAACTTTATGCTTTAGCCATTTCTCAGGTTTGTTTTTCATGCGTCTGCACGTTTTAGTACCTGATGGTACGTGACGATCAGGCCTAAGACGAAACGTGACTATTCAGTTAATATGAGAGTACCTATTTACAGGTATATCGAAAAAGATGATAACTTTACTCCTTTGTGGTTTGCTTAATTATCAAATCAGCAAATCGTATCGTTACACCTCAGTTTCTTTTGTGGGTCTAAAGGGTCTCAAACTTAACGGCGTAATATTTAGCAGACTTTTGGTCCTTCGAGCCGGACTTAAAGTGGAAATTAAGTTTCAAAGTCCTAATAGGCCCAACCGTCCGCCATTAACTTGCTGGCTTACAAAGACTAAACGCCTAAAAAACAGTCCAAATTGGTAAACAGCCGGACATGGTTTTAAAAGCCTTGCTAACCTTATTTGTCGTAGCAGTAGAGCTTCACTAATAAATAACATTTACTGCGTACAGTTGGTACCTAAAATAGCTTTCTTAAGTAACACAGTTTTGTGAAAAAGTTAACATTTGATAGATAAAACAACAATGGATATCAATATGCAAATACTTAGCTGCTTTTAAGAATGAAAGTCTTATTTATTTTGTTCGTAGCACTAATTTGTACTTTAAATTCATATTAGATTCCTACAGTGCATGGCTGCATCAAAATATTTTTCAACTAACAATTTGGTTGTATAATGTTTCAATTTTACACTCCAAAGCCTTTTAGATTTTAATAAAACTTTCTTATAGAAATGCGATGATGTGTAAATTTTTGTTCTGGACGAGTTATTGCAGTTTTTTTGAATTTTGAGGCAGATTCATTATTACTAACTCGAAACATGACTTCACAAACTTCAATTTAAGTATTAGATAATGCAAAAGGTTATCAGATTTTAATTTTAAGCTGACAAAGGCAGTACAATGAATAAAATGTTCTTTTCTATAAAGGCATGTTGTTTTTATCGAAAAAACAATTACGGCGTAGGTTACAATACCTATTGTTTATCAAAGAAGATCTGCCATTGACCTAGACACAGTAAAAACGGTCAAAGCAGTATAATTATTCCGTGCGATTTAACACTGTAGTCATAATTTCAGGGTAAACATGAAAGAGAAGCAGACTAGTCTACTAGTCGCCATAGAAGCGAGTTTAACGCCCGTATTCACAAACGATGCTTGCTTAAGTGAAGCAGCAAATCGAACGCATAGCGTTGAATAGAGCTATGTGTTTGATTCATGTGTCACCCTGTCCACGTGCACTGTGAGACCTCATAGATGTTTGATGAATACGGGCGTAAGGGTGGTATTCGAATAAGATATTTTAATTAATTCAAAAATGTTTAGTTAGGACTCCTGTTATGACCAGTATAGTTTAGGCGTGGCACTCCAATTATTATTCATTAAGTAGTAAGACAAAACCATTAGTCTATTTCTAGTTTTCAACCGACTTCAAAAAAGGAGGAGGTTCTCAATTCGACCCGTATGTTTTTTTTCTATGTTTGTTACGCGATAACTCCGCCAATTATGAACCGATTTGAACAAATCTTTTTTCGGCGTATAGGTAATACCTCAAGGGTGGTCCCATTTAAATTTAATAATAGAAAAAACAACCCCCAAGGGTGGAAAATTGGGGATGAACTTTTTTATACGCAATATCTCCGCCGATTATAAATCAATTTGAACGATTATTTTTTTGTTGAATAGGTATTATCAAAAGGGTGGTTTCATGCGAATTTGAAGAAAATATTTCACCCCCAAGGGTGGAAAATTGGGGATGAACTTTTTTATACGCAATATTTTTAATTTTTAGTTTTTTTTTGTGTTTACGCATTTGAAGTCGGTTTTATTTTTTTAAAAAGTTAATTATTTACATTTAAAAATGTCTCTTGGAAATATGGCGAGTGACATGAAAGATAACCTCGAAAGCGATTTAACTGAAAATTAAAACTTAAATTTCCAAAAGTCGCGTCTACTAGGAGTTGTTGATGTAAATTCTGCTTTGTCTTTAGAATAAAGAAATTTCCTTGGCACTAACGAAATATTTATAAGTAATGAAATAAGTATGGAAGACCTTATTTTTTAGATACTTGGTTCGACTATTTTTCAAATCCATTTACATAAAACAATAGTATTTATTTCCCCTGAGTTTATAATTCAATAGCCACTCTCGTTACTTGTTTCTTATTTTCTATTTTATAACTATAAAACAAAAACAATCATAAATGACGTCTATTTCAGTGGTAGGAGAAGTATGATGAATCGAAAACCACACGAACGAAGTCGAGTACAAATGCTAGAGTGCTACAGTAGAATACAGTTTTACTAAGTACCTACTAAATGGGGTGGTGTAAATATAGAATAGGTATACGAGTATGTAACTATACATATACTCATAAAATTAAAGCGAAAATGTATTTAACATTAATTTTCGAAACCATAAAAGTACATTAGACACAGTAGAAATAAATAACGAAGTAGAGTTTATTCTTTGTACCTACACATTATAATTATCAGTTACTCCGTGATCATGGCGCTTGCAACAGTGCCGAAATATCGGAGTCTCGAAATTAAGGTAGCAATCCAGTCAATAATAATGAATCTGTTAGTGACCATGAAAGTTTAAAACAATATACCGCATCTACACATTGTTATTATCCCATCAAGTTTGATGTGGCGTGATAAAAAGCTTTTTTTAGTGTTATGTTTGGCGAATCACCCTTCTTTGGACACCGAATATATTATGCCTGGCAGATTATGATACAATGAAATGAAAACATTAGTTTCAAAACCGATTCGATTAGTCCCTTATCTACGTATACAGGGTGGAATTTTGTAATGCCACCTGGAGGGAAAGTACTCTTAATACTGTAGATAGAAAATTTTGCTGAAAGAAAAAAATCCTTTATTTTTGAAAATAAAGAGAACTGCATTCAAAGATTTTCGAAAAAATTTCGAAACTTCAGTAACCTCAACGTACAATTTTCTGTACATGATTAAAATAATTTAAGATTTCGTGGTTTTCCTTTCATTTGATTTATCAAGTTTGTTAGAGAGATTTCATCCTTATACTTAACCCTAACGATCGATGCAATAAAAATACAGGGTGTAATTTTTAACAGATTTTAGTTGGTTCGATTCCCAGCCCAGGTATGGCAAGCAAATTTTTGAAAATCTTTGAATGCAGTTCTATTTCTTTTTAAAAATAAAGGAATGTTTTCTTTGAGAAACATTTTCTATCTACAATATTTTTTAAGAGTACTTTCCCTCCAGGTGGCATTACAAAATTCCACCCTGTATAGATACTACGTATACGTAGATATACGGCTAGGCTTTAAGGCAATTTAATTTTGTGGATTGATAGCGATATTAATTTTGGCGGTCAGTGACGTAGTACCTACAATCAAAAAAAAATCTATACCGACCAATGGGACATCGTTCAATTTTAAGTCGGAGTTAGACCGACCGACCTTTACAACCGGAGACATGGGCTCCCAACTCGGAATCTGACACATTACCTGCCTATATGTTTTCCTAAACGCCGCGAATATAGATACAATAGACTACCTACATTAGGCGTTTGTGAAGAGGGATATACCTACCTATTAAAGAATGAGGAATTTACCGCTTTAAATTACATTGTGGCAAAACCCCAAAAGGGCGAAATAAATCACTTCTTAAGTACTGAACATATTGTTGCGCAAAACTTTTTTCGTAAGATTTTGTAGCTAAATCTTTTGTAATATTTCGTTTCATGTGACGGCTACTACTACTATGTAGCTCGCAGAATTGCCAAAATCAAGTGGCAGTGGGCGGGGCACATAGCTCGTAGAGACGATGGCCGTTGGGGCAGGAAAGTTCTCGAGTGGCGACCACGGGCTGGAAGACGTAGCGTGGGCAGGCCTCCTACTAGGTGGACCGACGATCTGGTGAAGGTCGCGGGAAGAGCCTGGATGCGGGCAGCGCAGGACCGTTCATTGTGGAAAACCTTGGGGGAGGCCTTTGTCCAGCAGTGGACGTCATTTGGCTGAAAACGAACGACGGCTACTACAGCCCACGTAATTCGCCGACTTAGGTACGAATTATTGAGACATTACGGTTAGTCAAAGAAAGGATATCTACCCACTTCTGTACTGTCTGACTACTACTAAAGATAGGCTAGGTGTAGGCACCGATCTTATTCCTAAAGTTAATATTCCTTCGGAATAGAGCAACAACCACGAGCTGTCATACGAAACCAATTTTGAATGACACTTATGACAATGTATCAGTGTCAGGAATTCAGGATTATTTCACTGTTTTCTACAATAAATCAATCACTGAAGCAGTCACTACGTTTCTGAAGCACTTTTCTCATAAACATAAAAGATTTCATTGACGTAAAATCTGAAATAATATCAGAGTTGAAATTTTCAGTGTGCCTCTGAACTGTCAAATCTGTCTATCAGTGTTGCTGCTAGTGACATCTCACTTGCTCAGTTCTTAGTTGCTCTATTCCGCTAGGTATATTATCTTATAATCTTATTACACGGCTTGTTTAAAAAAAACTTTACTAATAGATACTAATAGTTAATTGTTTTCCTGAAACGTTCCGCAGCTCTCTAGCTAGCGTGGGGACTGGCCAAATCTTCGATTTGCCTTTAGTGAGAGGGCGTACTCTTGCAATGAAGAGTAAACCTGATGATGATAATGTTAACTATTGCCTTTGCCTCACCAATATCTTCTGTTTCAGAAATGCACTGGAGCTCGCGGCTCCTCTCACGAGGGTACCAGCTTGGGCACCACCTTTGCCAGGACTCTTCCACCAGCGTACAAGATCAGCAAGTCTGTGGTGTCGCTGCTCAAGGCATTCGGATGGTCTAAGTTCGCCATTGTTGTGGGGAAAGCGCTGAAAGCGGCTGCGCAGCAAATGGATGCTATCAAGGTATGAATTTGGAGTCTCATCTCTTTTACTGGTGTGTAAGAGCTGGTATATTCTTTGGAAGACACTATTCAAAACAGCGTGGAAATACGAACCATCATGGTATGAGTTCCTTCGGCATTCAATTCTTACAAATTACTTGACCATCATGTGACGTATGTTAGATGAAAACGAACAACATTTCAAGGCAGTCCATTGCTGGAAGTTAATCGAGGAATGCCACAAAGAATGATCTCTAGATTTTTTCTTCAAGGCAGTACCAGTAACGGTCTTGTGGTCCTCGGTTCATCTTGAAACACACAAACAAAATACAATTTGACGGCGCGATTGGAGTGCGGTGAATTGCCTTGAACACAGTGGGCGAAATGATCAATTTACATTCATTTATTTATAATCTGCCAAGGTTATTATTATTAGGCAAAATACGCAAAGTATCTACGCCCACCGACTATCTGAATGCAAACCTTCCATAATGCCTTGTAAAGGATGGGCTTAACGGCGGATATTATACAAAACGGCGTAAATACACTCGCGAGCAAAAGTATGGAATCACTTACATGAAGTTGTTTCCACGCGATCTTGTGTACTAACGAATTTGTTAGGAACAAAAAAAGTGGCACCATTTTAAAGATTAAACTTTTATCTTTAAATTGATACCAAATTCGTTTAAATCACACCAGTATTTAAAAAGATATCCCGGCTAATGTGAAGAAGTAACGAAAAAGACATGTATGAACTGTTTGATACGTCGCGAGTTGCGGCCTATTTACCCCCTATAAAAGCACGCGTTTTCGGATTTTTGCTTTCACACGTTGATTCATACACATCTCCGCTTCTTTTGACTCTTTACCTGGGATTCTACACCTTCAGAAACAGCACAAATCGTTGCACTATTGCAAGAAGGGCTCAGCCAGCGGGCTGTCGCACGTCAGCGCCACATAAGCCAGTACTGGGTTTCGAAAGTTTTAAGACGCTTTCGGGAGACTGGTGGCTTTATCCCGAGACCAAGTTCTGAACAGCGCCGGCGCACATCGTAGAGGGAAGACCGTTTTTTCATGTCAACCTCTCTATGAAATCGTCATTTGACTGGAATCGACGTCCAGTAAGAGCTCAGAAATGTTCGTAGGATAGCTGTTAGCGAGTAGACAGTTTGTCTAAGACATAAGCAATAGAATTTAACTCCAAAAAGGCCTGCCACAGGCTCGAAACTGACGGCAGGTCACCGATAAGCACGCTTTCAATTTGCTCGTACACATCTCGATGTTAAGTCGAGCAAGCCACCCCCATAAGCCACTGTTTCAGCGAACCAGCACTGCACAAATCGCTCCTCAGGCCGCCTATAAACCCGACCTCTTCGACTGCTGCCCTGCAAACACAGTTTGCATTCATCGGAGAACAGAACTCGCCTCCATTACTCGCCTTCCCATCGAGATGTGTACGAGCAAATTGAAAGGGTGCTTATCGGTGACCTGCCGTCAGTTTCGAGCCTGTGGCAGGCCTTTTTGGAGTTAAATTCTATTGCTTATGTCTTAGACAAACTGTCTACTCGCTAACAGCTATCCTACGAACATTTCTGAGCTCTTGATGGACATCGATTCCAGTCAAATGACGATTTCATAGAGAGGTTGACATGAAAAAACGGTCTTCCCTCTGCGATGTGCGCCGGCGCTGTTCAGAACTTGGTCTCGGGATAAAGCCACCAGTCTCCCGAAAGCGTCTTAAAACTTTCGAAACCCAGGACTGGCTTATGTGGCGCTGACGTGCGACAGCCCGCTGGCTGAGCCCTTCTTGCAATAGTGCAACGATTTGTGCTGCTTCTGAAGGTGTAGAATCCCAGGTAAAGTGTCAAAAGAAGCGGAGATGTGTATGAATCAACGTGTGAAAGCAAAAATCTAAAAACGCGTGCTTTTATAGGGGGTAAATAGGCCGCAACTCGCGACGTATCAAACAGTTCATACATGTCTTTTTCGTTACTTCTTCACATCAGCCGGGATATCTTTTTAAATACTGGTGTGATTTAAATGAATTTGGTATCAATTTAAAGATAAAAGTTTAATCTTTAAAATGGTGCCACTTTTTTTGTTACTAACAAATTCGTTAGTACACAAATTCGCGTGGAAACAACTTCATGTAAGTGATTCCATAGTTTTGCTCGCGAGTGTATTTCAAGTCTAACCCTAGGAAAACCGGAAACTGAGTAATAAGAGGAAAGATTCCTACGCCTGAAAATTCGGATGTTCAATACTATAAATAACCTACTGCGTAAACAATCGGATAATATTGACTGTGTGTCTCGCTCACTATTTCCAGCATTCAAAAGTGTGTGAACAGGATAAGTACCTAGATAGAGCTATAACCAAAAAGTTAATACTCTAGCGGAATTGAGCAACAATAATCGCTCAGTTCGAGCGAGCGAGATTTCACTAGCAGCACCATTGTGTGATAAAAAGAGATGCGTGATGCCGTTGTTAAACCGTTTTTTGCAACTATTATACAGTTCAGAGACACGCAGAAAATTGGAACTCTGATAAATATTTTCAGATTTTACGTGAGTGAAATCGTGGATGTTTATGAGAAATATTGCTTCAAAAACGTGGTGGTGACTGAACCAGTGATTGATATTATATTGTACAAAACAGTGAAATATTCTTGACATTGACCCACAAGTGTCACCCAAAATTGGTTTCTTTTGACAACTCGTGGGTGTTGCTCTATTCCGATTTTCGAAGGAATATTAACTTTATGGCTATAACTGAAATAACATTGCAGGATAAAGCCGACTGTCCACCGCCAGCTAAACTAAGTTAGTTTAGCTCAGCTCGCATAGTTGAGCCAGTTTTTCATACAAGTGCGTCCACCGCAAACTATGCCAGCTAAACGTGAAATGCCCCAGCTAAGTGGAACTAACTTAGTTGTGCGGCCGATCCGTAACTGAGCTAAACGGCTTATTCCACAATTCCCCGTTGACAATCCCCGTCAACGGGGATGAGTGAACTTTTTGTTCACTATTCCCCGTTATTATAGGACTTTATTTTCAACATTATAAGCTCCAATTGGCATTAACGGGGAATAGTGAACAAAAAGTTTACTAATCCCCGTTGACGGGGATTGTCAATGGGGAATAGTGGAATAAGCCAGCTAAACTAAGCGCCTCTCACCCCCTATAACGATAGTCCTCCTCTAAAGTCTCGTCATCACTCGTGTCGTCTTCCATATCACGTCCGGTTTAAACTCGATGTTCTAGCACAAACTGACCATTACTAACGTAGTTTTAGCTTATTTGTTGGTGGACGGACAACGTAGTTCTAGTTTAGCTTAGCTTAGTTCACTGAGTTTAGTTTTCACTTTGTTTAGCCGGCGGTGGACGTTCGGCTTAAGGCCTCAATCAAAGTATCTCTAAACGGCTTAAGTTGTTCGAAATGTTACAAATTATGTCAATTACGAAGCCATCTATGAAGGCAAGGGTTGAAAGCTAATTTCCAAAGTAGGATTATCGTAGAAACATCGATTTACGTCACAGCTGTTGTTGTAAGGGATTAAACAACATTAAGGGTGTTGACGGAAGTGTGAATCTGCCTAAATTAGAAAACAAAAATATTTAAGGATATTTCGAAGATGCGATAAACGTCAAAAGAAAAAAACCGGCCAAGTGCGAGTCGGACTCGCGCACCGAGGGTTCCGTACAAACCTGCAAGGTTTACAAAGTTCGTTCATTACGACAATCGAGTCATAACTATGGTATTTTTATTGCAAAATGAAATTCATAACATTACAATGGGGAAAGATGGAGGCGCATAAATTTAAGACAAAGATCTCTTTATCGTTTAAGTAATCCTTAATTTAATGCATTTGATATGAATTTCAACTTGATAGCTCTACGCGTTCATGAGGAAAAAAGTAATAAGTTTATATTTATTAAAAAATATATATTTTGTAATGTAACTAAAAATTTAAGGTTTTCGGAATTTTTCCTTTATGTGTGCTATAAAACGTTGCTTCATGCCAAATTTCAAGATTCTAGGTCGACTGGAAGTACCCTTTAGGTTTTGATTCCCTTGCGAGTACTTGCGAGTTTCAAAATATGCAGCTTAAATTGCTGTTTCTTTTGATTGCGTTGGCATAGAAGTTTGATTTTGTTACAGCTTAAAGGTATTATAGACCTGAGTATTTGGTATGAATTTCAATTTAATACCTCTACGCGTTTATGAGGAAATGGGTAGTAAGTTTAAAGATTCTGAGTTCACGGGAAGCACCCTGTAGGTTTTGATTCCCTTGCAAGTGTCGAAAATGGCAATGCCAGATTTTGTATGGAAGGTGGCGTCTTTTTTTTTTCGCGCGGCCATCGATCAAACTTTGTTTTTTGATTACAAAATATTGTAATAAACCAAACTTACTATGGCATGGCCTCAGCCTCGAACTTAGCGGGCAGCGGGGCGGGAGCGGCGGCGGCGCTGGAGCGGGGCGGGCAACGCAGACCCGTTCTCGAAACAAGCGGGCAGCTCGCGCGGCGCTTTAGCGGCGAAGTGTTGTGTTCGAGGTTGTGTTGTCGAGATATTTGTTTTTATTCGCAAACGAAATGTCTGAACAACGGCGACAATTTTATTTGGATTCAAATTTATGCTTAACGCTCGATTTATTGTGGGCAAAAGAAGGAGTGCGCTCTGCCCGCTCGTTGCCCGCTCCCTCGCCGCTGCCCGCTCGTTGCCCGCTGCCGCGCCGCTGTTTTCGAGAACCGGTCTATTTGATTTTACGCATAAGATCCTGCCGCTCCCGCGCCGCCGCCGCCGCCGCCCCGCTGCCCGCTAAGTTCGAGGCTGAGGCCTAATTGTATACCTCTAAACTCAGTCTGAACTGAGTTACGAGCATTAGAAGTTTGATGATTTTCATACTAGATTTGCTTTTTGCGCGCAAGTTTTGTAAGAAAAATATGGCGCTATTTTTTTATTGCGCTGATTCTGCTGCATACTGATGTCTGGAACCTTTAATGGATGTTATTGTTCGTT